TCAGACAATCTTACGCAATATCCCATGCTGGGTTTGTGGGGCACAGTATATTAATGCGAATGTAAATAAACTACCCCGGGTGAGCATTCATGGGGTTGCTATGCAACCATCGGCATGCAGGGACAGTTTGTGGCAGTTTGGCAGAAGGCTGGAGAAACTGTTACTTGCTGTTTTCTAGAGCAGAGATCCGCTGCATCTGCGTCTTTCCCAAAGTAAATGTGACAAGTCATGCTCTCAGTGTTCAGATCTCACATGGCTAAGTATAGCTTGGTTTCATCATCACTTCTGCTGTCTTCAGAGGGCATAAGGGGGAGGCTTTTCCTGCTTGGATCGCACTTACTTGCGTGTTGTAAATGTAGTGGGTCCCTTGCCAACTCCTCATACGTAAGCAGGAAAGGAAGTCTTGTGAAAAATGTTGTCATTATTTCATGTCACTGATGGTCATCCTGAAACATGTTTTATAATCCAGCACTACTCATCATTGGCTCGACTTCAGTGAATTCTAATAAAGCTTTAGCATGTGACGCATGAAATCGCAAATGACGGCCCGAAAATAAGCCTTCTTCTTCTTCTAAAACAATGTGGGTGTGATTTTGTTGTCAGTTTACTAACATTGTTATTGATTCGCTCATTGTTCACCACTGATTGGCTGGGAAAGTCTGCAACAATCTGAGATCTGTGTCAAAGCCACTATTAGTAGTGGATCTAACAAAAATAAAAACATTTTATCAAATCAGGGTTTCAAAGTTACTTGGCACAAAACTTTAATAAAAGATACTCCCATAATGTTCTGTTTAGCCTTAAATGAAATAACTGTATTTATTTCTTTATAAGCATTTTAAGTATTCACATTTCTTACATGACACAATAAATAACACAAATAAAACAAAGATTACTGGAGGATGTTTTACAAGAAAATACTACTTCAGTCTTTCTATTTCTAAATTTCATGTTTAATTCAATGTGATACTTGCCATTTCTTTGTTATTATTTGTGAAATTTACTAGCATTTTCTGAGTAAAAAAAAAATAGATATTTCAAAGCCATTTTTCTACTAGAGTACAATTAATAAATTGTAAATATATTTTTCTGTCTGAATGTAATATTATGTATAGAGGACTCGTATTTTAGCCATAAGCAATGGTTTGAAATTAAAAGCATCTAAATGATGAATTTGTTTCTTACAAACATGCAGCTTTTTGCTTCACAAGATATTAACTGATGGACTGGATTGGTGTGGATTATTGTGATGTTTTTATCAGCTGTTTGGACTCTTATTCTGACGGCACCCATTCACTGCAGAGGATCCATTGGTGAGCAAGTAATGTAATGCTACAGTTCTCCAAATCTGTTCTGATGGAGAAACAAATTCATCTACATTATGGAAGGTCTGAGGGTGAGTACATTTTCAGCAAATTTTTATTCTTGGGTGAACTATTTTGACATTTAATATTACACATTCACTCGCTTTCAAAGTTCACATTAGGGCGTACACATAATTGCCAAAAATGCTTACTAAATACATTCATGAAGAGGACCACAGTCAGTCTTAGGGGGTTTGGAATCAAATGAGAGGGCGGACACAAGGGCACGGCAATAAATTAGAGGAAATTAGCATCTCAAGTGGCTAGAGGGGACTACCGACATATTCTACAGCTACAACAATACACCAGGAGGAGGTGAGCCGCCTGCCAAGTGTACATTACTGGGAGCAGACTGAAAGGTTTGGCGGTAAAGAGCATGCCTCCTGTTGTGACTGGCAGGGGTTAGTTTGGAGAGGCAAAAATGGTTCATGGGTGCAGTGCTGTGAAAAAACACCACAATGAGTGGCTCTCACTTGAATGCCTATTCAAAGGCATTCATGCGATATTTCAACTCAAGCACTTCTGTTTTTTAAATACCAAAACCCTACAGCGCAGAATGATGAATTTTAAATGTGTCTGAAACATTTTGGAAGCAATTTTTCTCTTGCAACATATCCAATGACCCTAGCATTAAAGCAAACTCTGTGCTCCCACCTATTTAGCTACACTTCTAAAATTAGTTTGATTTGTTTTACACTCTTAAAAATAAAGGTTCTTTATTGGCATCTATGGTTCCATGAAGAACCTTTAAAATCCATGGAAACTTTCCATGCAGACACTCTGAATCCAGCTCAAGACTAGAATATCTTTAAGACTAGAAACCATCTTATTAACAGTTTATATTTTTAAAGGGCAACTAGAGACCAATTCAGCAAGAGCAATACCAAAAAAAAGTTTTTGTTTTTGTTTTTTGAACAAGGTGCACTTCACAATCAACTTCAGACTACTTTTTCAGACAGGCTATAAGTGAACTTTTAAATGCTTCCAGAGACCGTTGTAGCACCGAGGGCGGCTGTGCATTCAGAAAAGCCCTGTGGTGTCTGAACCAAATACGTGGACAGCTGATGGCTTAAATAAGATGTGAATACGTCTAAAAGGACTTTTGTTTATGGTCAACAAAACCAAAAAGGAGATTTTACATCACAAACGGCATTAGAAAGAACTCGTACAGCACTGCAACAGAACCTGCGGCAGACCACATGGAAATAAAACATGATAAAAGAAGAAAGAGATCTACGTTATGTCTGTGAATAGATCCAAGGTGACCATAAAACTCACCATTCAAACCGGCCGCCTGGAGATGAAAAGCTAAATTGGAAGTGCATTAAATAAGGCTACGGTTATTACTCCTCAAGTTCAGTTCTAAGCCAACGTTCAAACAGCAGCAGCCCTATTTTCGAGAGCTAAATGTGTTTTTTTCTCATGTTGATTGGTTGTAAACTAGAGTGACAACCAAAATGTATAACTGAACAGACTCTCGATTGTTGTGTGAACCTGTGCCGGGGTTTACACTGCTGCTCTCTACTGAAAATAAAGTGATTTGTGAGTTACTACATGGAGCATTTCCTTTCATAAGAGTCATCAATTTAACAAACTGTAAAAACTGAAGTAGGCCTGTGAGAACTATTACAAATTTTATCATCATAAAATTTAATTTACATAACGAGGGGGGCATTTACATTTACATCCAAGTGGTAAATAATATCTACACAGAGCAGAAACTAAACCCCAAACTGTAGCTATAAACTGCTTTATCATCTAGAAATTTTAGAATCAGAAGGTTTTTCATCCAGAACTTCAGAACTTATTATGAAGTGTTACCAACTCGCTGATCTCATACACTCTTAAAAGTAAAGGTTCTTTACTGGCATTGATGGTTCCACGAAGAACCTTCAACATTCATGAAACTTTTCCATTGGACACAAAGTTCTTTATAGTGGAAAAAGGTCCTTTAGATTATTAAAATGTTCTTGACACTTTTAAAAACCGTTCACAGAAAGGTTCTTTGGGGAACCCAAAATAGTTCTTTTATGGTATCACCGCAAAAAAAAAAAACTTTTGGAACCTTTTTTTTTTTTACATAGGGCAAAATAAGGTAAATTGGGCCTTTAACTGAATTCACTCAATATACTTATAAATAAATCATGTAAATAATGCTAAATGGGAGCATGTATTTTAAAGGGGTCATACAAGAATGGCTCCTAAGCGATTGAGGTGTTTTGTTGTTGAATGTAATAATGAACATAGCAGTCGTCGTTTACTCCCGACATCTGAGAAGATGCAGTGGATTATGTTTGTTTTTGAAGGAAATGCGCCCCCGATCTACATAAATGCGTCTATGTTTGCGCGAATCATTCGTGATCCAGCTTCACCTACAGAAGAAGTGAGTGTAAGGTTTTTTTAACGAATCTTTGCAAATCGCCTTTCCTAATAATGTGCTAATTAGCAAGTTTTGACGCGGCTCGGAAGAGAGGGGCGGGGTCAGCAGAGATCATTAAAGGGGTCATATGATGCGATTTCAAGTTTTCCTTTCTCTTTGGAGTGTTACAAGCTGATTGTGCATA